TGTCCTTGCGGATTATGAAGACGAGTATCCGGTGCCTCCGGCGTCTTCTCCGTACAAGACTGGAGAGGGTCTTGTCCTCCAGCCGGTCGGTGTGGGGCAGTCCCCGAAACCTGGGGCAGGAGCTGTTTGCTCCCCTCTGCAGTGACCCCAGGGCGGCCAGATCTGTGCGCCAGTCTCTGACCCGCTGGGCGCAGCCTCGCTCCCGGAGGAGTGTGGGTGTGGCGTGTGTCCGCGCTGGCGGCCGGAGGCAGTGGAGCGGCAGGCTCTCCCAGCTGGGGAAGAGAGAAGCCCAGTGTGTGTGTGTCCAGAGCAGCGCCCTCACCTACCCTGTCGAGAGGGAGAGCCCAAGGACTGGCTCGTTTGGAAAGGGGGGCGGGGGGTGAGGGGGTGGTTCACCTGAGCTGAATTTCTCTCAGCTAGGTGGCGTTGTGCCACTGTGCCCGGGCTCACGTTTGGTATACAATTGCGCCAGGTGCCGTTGTGTAACTGTGAATGCATACACGCACACACGAGCAGAGGGAGAAACAAGGAAGTTGGTATTTTTTTTTGTCCTTTTCAAACGTGTTCCCTTTCCTCTTTTGGGTTAATGAGAGAGCGGTTTCAGTTCATCACCAAGGTGGAACTGGTTGAGTGAGGGGTTAGGGGCAGTGAGGTGTCTGAAGAGCTCAGGGATGGACGTGTGGAAGGGTACGTACAGTGTGCAGCAATGCAGAGCAGTGCTGTCGCTTGGTGTGGTTCAGTATAGAGGTGTACAGTAGATTAGTGCAGGACAGCTTGGTGTACAACCGCTCTGTAGAGCAGCAGTAGTGTAATACAGTGCAATAGTATATAACAGTACGGTACAATTTAGTACAGAACAGGGTAGAGTAGTACAGTATAATAATGTAACATGGTTACTGTATAGTGGTGTGGTTTGGTGTGCTGCAGTGTTGTAGGTTGGTGCAGTACAGTGTTTTAGAGTGGTACAGTATAGTGGAGAGGTTTGGTGCATATAGTGCTGTAGTGTGGAACAGTATAGTGCTGTAGTGTGGTGGAGTATAGTGCTGTAGTGTGGTACAGTATAGCGCTGTAGTGTGGTACACTATAGTGCTGTAGTTTACTGCATTATGATACTGTAGTTGTACTGTATGTGTATAGTACTGTAGTGTGGTTGGGTATAGTGCTGTAGTTTGATGCAGTATATTAGTGTAGTGTGGTGAAGTGTAGTGCTATAGTTTAATGCAGTGTATTAGTGTAGTGTGGTGCAATATAGTTCTGTAATGTAATCCAGTGTAGTAGTGTAGTGTGGTACAGTATAGTGTTGTACAGTGGTGTAGTATGGGCCTGTACTGTGGTGCAATATAGTGCTGCAATTTGTTGCAATATGGTACTGCAGTGTGTTACAGTATGGTGTAATTTGGTGAAGTATGATACTGCGTTGTGGTGCAGTATAGTGCTGTTATTTAATGTAGTAGTGTAGTATGGTGTTGTAGTTGGGTGCAGTATTATGTTGTAGTTTGGTGCAGTAATATGTTGTAGTGTGGTGCTGCAGTTTGGTGCAGTATTATGTTGCAGTTTGGTGCTGTAGTTTGGTGCAGTATGGTGCTGTAGTTTGGTGCAGTGTGGTGCTGTAGTTTGGTGTAGTGTGGTGCTGTAGTTTGGTGCCGTATTATGTTGTAGTTTGGTGCAGTATTATGCTGTAGTTTGGTACAGTATTATGTTGTAGTTTGGTGCAGTGTGGTGCTGTATTATGTTGTAGTTTGGTGCGGTGTGGTGCTGTAGTTTGGTGCTGTATTATGTTGTAGTTTGGTGCTGTAGTTTGGTGCAGTATTATGTTGTAGTTTGGTGCAGTGTGGTGCTGTAGGTTGGTGCAGTGTGGTGCTGTAGTTTGGTGCAGTATTATGCTGTAGGTTGGTGCAGTGTGGTGCTGTAGTTTGGTGTAGTGTGGTGCTGTAGTTTGGTG